AGGGAAAGAATAGTCCAATTAAAAATAATTTTTTAAAGAATAGAATTTTCTCTACCTGCTTCTTAGTCTGAAGTTATATTTGCAATTCTAAACTTTAAAAAGGATTTTATTTTATATTACTTTAGATTGCTACTTTTCCAGGTCTGTAATGATTTATTAGAGACTTAACTTGTCAGCCAATATGTCTTGTGAATTAGGATACGAAAGTAGAGTAAGGATGTGAAGTTGGAATTTTAAGAGCAAACTTTGGCTCATTCAGTGCTATTTATTCCTTTTTATACATGACACACACTGAAGTAATTACTCTGCATACTGAAACACATTGGACCCTAGAAGTTGTGATGTGTATTAGGTCTCTGTAACATAGGATTTAGGAGGGAAATCTTATGAGTTGAAAAGTATTGTAACAAATTATCTATGTTTCAAAACAGACAAGCTTTAGAAGATATGCTACAACTTCCTAAGAAACTGGTCCTAAGGAAAAAAGTTTTGCCATTGAAGTAAATTGTGAATTCTCATTTTTTGTTCTTTAAAAAAAAATGGTTCTATGGTTATTTCGAACCATTAAAATAGGAAAGAGCAAAATAGTGTTTTTCCCTATTCAACCTGGCATTTTGACTCCTCAGTCCATTTTACAGTAGATGTAACATCTACCAACTTCCAAATATTTGACTCTTTGGATTTGTCTCTGAGTGAGACATAAAAAATGAGTTGTTCATATGATAAGTAACCAGTTACATTGAGCTTTGTAATTTTTCAGTCTTTCATCCACCTTGTGAGACATGAACCACCTTCCTTATTTTAACAACAACAACAAAGAAGTGTGAGGGAGATTAAATGATGCAAAACCACAGTTACTTGAACCAGTCCATTGATTCTCCTCTTTGGGTTTTAGACTCTTGAGAATCTGATGAAGCTGTGGATCTTCTCAGAAAAATATGCTCACAATGTTTTATATACAAAGTTAGGGAATTCGTGGACCCCCTGATTAAGAAACCTTGCTCCGAGCAATTATAGCCTCTAAAGTGCCATTCCTAGGCCAAATGTTTTGTGGCATCTCTTCAACCTTAGTAAACAGATTGCATTGTAAATATTCCTAGGAAGTAGAACCAAATAAAATTAGATTTAGAAGCTAAGGTACAATGAGGGGTTACCTTGTAAAGAAATGATATAGTAGTTTTGAGAATTTTTGCCTGGTGCACAGATGTGGAAATGGGTTGTAGGAGCAAGTTGTTTTTTTCCCATGCTTAATAATGAATAAATAGGGTGTTGCTGTTGTAGAGCAGGATTGGGAATACTTTATCTTGATGCATCTTTGCTTATACAAAAAGGTTCCTGTGGCAGGATCCTTGTTCTTACAGCTGAGTTTTTTTAAAAGCAACTTTATTGAGATATAATTCACATACCGTATAATTCAGCCATTTAAAGTGTGCAACTCAGTGGTCTTTAGTATGTTCACAGGGTTGTGAACCATAGCCACAATCAGTTTAGAACATTTTCATGACTCTAAAACGAAACCCAGTACTTACTAGCAGTCAGTACCCATTCTTCCCTAACCACCCCACCACCACGCTGGGAGCCAGTAATCTACTTTCTGTCTGTATAGATTTGCCTATTCTAGCATAGCATATTCATCACATACAATATGTGGTCTTTTGTGCTGGGCTTCTTTTACTTAGCATGATGTTTTTCATCCATGCTGTTGCCTGTATCAGAACTTCATTACTTTTTATGGCTGATCAGTGTTTCATTGTGTGTATGTATGTATGTGTGTGTGTGTGTGTGTGTGTATGTATATATGCCACGTTTTTTTATGTGCTCATCTGTTGATGGACACTTGGGGTGTTACCACCTTTTGGCTGTTGTGAATAATGGTGCTATGAATATTGGTGTACCAGGGTTTAAGTCCCTGTTTTCCGTTTCTTTGGGCATAAAGCTAGAAGTAGAATCGCTGAGTGTCTTGCTAATTCTATGAGTGTCTGAGAAAATATATGAATAGATTATAGTTGAAAACTTCCCTAACAAGGGAAAGGAAATAGTCAATCAGGTCCAGGAAGCACAGAGAGTCCCATACAGGATAAATCCAAGGAGAAACATGCCAAGACACATATTAATCAAACTGTCAAAAATTAAACACAAAGAAAAAACGTTAAAAGCAGCAAGGGAGGGCTTCCCCGGTGGCACAGTGGTTGAGAGTCCGCCTGCTGATGCAGGGAATGTGGGTTCGTGCTCTGGTCCAGGAAGATCCCACATGCCGCGGAGCGGCTAGGCCTGTGAGCCATGGCCGCTGAGCCTGCGCATCCGGAGCAGTGAGAGGCCCACGTACAGCAAAAAAACAAAAACAAAACAAACAAACAAACAAAAAAACCAATGACAATAATACTTTGTTTGCATAAAGGTGGGGCCTTTGTTGTTGCTTTATTTTAAGCTATGTGAAAAGCAGTATCTGTATGATAGTTCCCATTCTACTTTCACAGTTCAACTCTCTTCATTCTATAATATTAAACATTTTTAATGTTTTAATTTTGTAAGTGCATTATTGTAGAGAAATTAGAAAAGATGCAGTAAGCCAAGAGACAAAAATTTCAACCTGTAGTGGTTCTACCCCTCAAAGGTAACCTGTTATGTTTTGGTATATTTTGTATTTATTTATATATTTAATTTGTTAATTTTCTGTATGTATTTATTGACTACTGTCATAGGTACTCTGGTTACTGGGGGTACAGTGCTGAATAAAACATTGTCCTTGCCCTCATGGAGGCTATAGTTTGGTGGTGGGAAATAGACATTAAGTAAATAATCACACAAATAATAATATAGTACAATTGAGTTAAATTCTATGAAGGGAAATGTAGTTTTGCAGTTTGTGTGTGTGTGTGTGTGTGAGAGAGAGAGAGAGAGAGAGAGAGAGAGAGCGAACATGCGCGCACACGTGCGCACATGCATGTATGGACATGCATGTATCTCCTGACCATGTATGTCCTAATGCCTCTTGATTATACTCATTTTTTCCTATTGCTATTACCCTCGTCCAGGCTGTCTTCATCACTTACATGGGCCACTAGACAACTTCCCTTTTATCTACTCTGGCCTCCCTCTAGTCTTTTTTCCAGAGTGATTTTTTTTCAGAACACAAATTTGATCATGCCACTCCCCTGCTCTTTAGTGGTTTCCCATGATTTAGAATTAAGGGCTAAATCTTTAATATGGCCTCTGAGCCTCTACCTGGGTTGTTCTCCTCTTCCTCTCTTCCTTTCAAGATTTGATCTTATACCATTTCTTCTTGCTTTTCTTGCACTAGCCCCACTGGCATCATTTCAGCACTGGTTAAGAATGTTTCCTTCTAGCACAGGCCCTCACACATACTGTTCTCTTAGTCTGGAATGCTTCTCCACCACCCGTTCAATTCGTTTAGTCAGTCCCTACTCATTTATTAGCTAACGTGTCACTTCTTCAAGGGTGTTTTCCTCACCAGTCCCCAGTCTAGGTCAGGTTCCTTTGTTATGTATTTTTATAGAAGCCTGTTTATTTTCTTCAGGATGCCAATTCAGTTTGAATTATGCATTCAGTGTCTGTTTCCCTCACTTGACTGCAGAGTCTATGAGAGCAAGAACCATGTCTATTTTAACAATCACCACTGCCTGGCTCAATAAGTACTTATTGAAAGAATGAATGAATATGTGCTACATATAGATATGTTTCATATATAAACTTATGGACGTAGAGGAATACATATACTGTGTTTCATCAAATCTAAGACACTGTTGATTGAGAGATGAACTACTTTTCTGTACCTCTAAGAAAGAATGCTTCCAATTAAACCATGATTTATCATGGCTATCAGTTTTAAGACATATCCTAATTTCAAAGATGTTAATGTGAAAAAAATGTGCCTCTTAGAATCAGTGAAGTGTAATTTTTTTTAAGTGAGGTCATATTTAATTTGTAATCTGCTTTTTCAGTTAGTATATTATGAAATATCTTTCTTTACAATGTCGATAAATATACTTTTACCCTATCATTTAAAATGTCTGCATAGTATTTCATTGTACAGATTTTATCCTGGATTTTAAATTCCCTTTTTGTATGGAAAAGAAGTTCACATTTAAAATGTTCTCATCCACATTAATTTTTTTTTTTTTTTCTATTTTGCCAATGCTGTATTTTGGCTTCCAGTTAGGTACCTCTCACAGATTCAGAGTGATATCCTGCTGTTTTCTAAAATTGTCTTGTGATGGCTGGCCAGATTTGGCCTGTAGGCCATAGTTTTCTGACCTCTGCTTTACACTCTTAAAAAATTGTTGAGGACCCCAAAGAGCCCTGTTTATATAGCTTATATCTATTAATATATATTGCATTAGAAATTAAAACTGAAATTTTTGGGGAGGAGAAGTGAGAAGTAAGATTTCCTTGCTTAAACGTTTCTTTCTAATTTCGTCATTAAATATAGCCATTCTTATGTGGAGCGGGGGGATGGTTAAAAAAATTACCTCTTGTTTTACTTTCAGTAGGTCAGGAAAGAAGCAGTTTGCTTTTTTGGATAGGGAGAATTGTGAAAGCAAACAAAAATGTGAACAATAAAACTGGGAAACTTTTATTTTTATTTTTAAAATTATTTATTTATTTATTTGGTTGTACTGGGTCTTTGTTGCGGGAGGTGGGCTCCTTAGTTGCGGCACGTGGGCTCCTTAGTTGTGGCACGTGGGCTCCTTAGTTGTGGCACACAGGCTCCTTAGTTGCGTCATGTGGACTCCTTAGTTGTGGTATGCAAACTCTGAGTTGTGGCATGCATGTTGGATCTAGTTCCCTGACCAGGGGTCAAACCTGGGCCCCCTGCATTGGGAGTGCAGAGTATTATCCACTGTGCCACCAGGGAAGTCCCCAAACTGGGAAACTTTTAAAACACAAGAATATACAGGCACACGTCTCATTAGCCATCAGAGCAATGACATCATCACACATCACCTCTGGAAATCTCTATACCCATGAGAAAGGAATGAAAAAGGCAAATAACTTCTTAGTATTATTATGAAAATAGTTTATATTTCATAGACTCCCTGAAAGGATCTTGGGGACCCCTCAGTGTTCCCCAGACCACACTTTGAGAACTGCTAGTCTAGTTCAAAGTAGGTGTTCAATAAATATTGAATGGGGACTTCCCTGGTGGCACAGTGGTTAAGAATCGCCTGCCAGTACAGGGGACACGGGTTCGATCCCTGGTCCAGGAAGGTCCCACATTTCTCTAGGCCACGGAGAAACTAAGCCCGCGAGCCACAACTACTGAGCCTGCGTGCTACAGCTAGTGAAATCTGTGCGCCTAGAGCCTGTGCTCCACAACAAGAGAAACCACCGCAATGAGAAGCCCGTGCACCGCAGCAAAGAGTAGCCCCTGCTCGCCACAACTAGAGAAAGCCCATGCACAGCAATGAAGACCTAATGCAACTAAAAATAAAAATAAAAATTGAATGAATGAACATAGTACCTGCCCTTTATTGATGTGGGGATAGAGAAACTAAATAGTTTAATTTTATGGTATGAGCAATTTAGAGTGGGGACAATTGACAAGAGCTAGAGTAGCCAAGGAAGGAAGAGGTTTATGGAAATTTTTTCCTAATCTCTTAAATTTGATAATGTATGAACAAACAAACAAAACCTTGGTAATTCATAAAATAGTTTGTTGGAAACTATTCTGTTCTGTCCTAGAAATTTCTTAAAGTTTTTTGAACTCTATCAGAAATCTACAAAAAAACAAAAAAGGTCACACAGAAAATTTTCAAAACTGAGTTTTCCTTGTAAATAACAGGTATAGTAACAAGGAAGTTACTGAATAAATATTTGGGAATTATCTGTGAGTGGGTTAGCATATATATCTACAGATAAATTTCATTTGTATTGATCAAATAGTTAATTTCTTTGCAGTACCTTTCTTTTTTTTTGACTAGAGCTAATATTTATAATATTTTAGTGTAAAAGTTTTTAATAATTTACCTTTTCACTCCAAATCAATGTTTTGATGGTTTTGACATTTCAGATTCGTTACATTTCACAAACACAAGGCCTGCCAGCTGAATATCTTCTCAGTGCCGGAACAAAAACAACCAGGTTTTTCAACAGAGATCCTAATTTGGGGTACCCACTGTGGAGGCTTAAGGTCTGACTCCCTTGCTATACTATACTATTCATTCCTGTACTCCTTAATTCCAATTTGAATTCAAAGTTTAGTCATTAAGTTCTTGAGGTGAAGGGGGGACAGTGGGAATGTTCGTTTGCAGGAGCAAATACTTTGAGAAATTATATCATTGTACCCGTATGGCCTTATCCTTAGTTAAAGAAACAAAACATTAAATGCCAGTTCAGTTGGCTGAGGTTATTTTATGTATTTGAATCAGCAGCTAAGAAGGGGGTATGGAGAGTAGTGCTTATCATTAAGTGATAGGAAGAACTAGAGTAATTTAGTAGTGGCTGTTTTTTAGAGAATTCTCAATAAATATGACAAAACAACACAATTTTATAACTGCCCATATTAAGACCTTACATATTTTCTTAAAACAAATAGATGTCTGAGTAATTTGATTAACCCAGTGACTCTGTCTCTGAGCCTATTGAATAGTTAGTATTTGAAATATTGTTTCATCTGAAAGTGGCTTTTAGAGAAAAATGGTAATGTCTCTTCTTAACTGACATTCTTCAGGAACTGTGCTACATCATTGCTTGCACATTTATTTTATCATTGTTGAAAGGGTGGCCAGGTATCAAGGTCCCATCTCTCTACCAGAAGATTTTCTTGTTGTAAATTACTTTCACGTTTGTGATCTCTGGTTGGCAAGGTGACAACACTTGTATCTCTGTATTCTGACTTTAATTTAGAATAAGAGGTGAAAACATACAGATGGAATTTTTAAAAAATCTGTATTTTGTAGACACCTGAAGAACATGAATTGGAGACTGGGATCAAATCAAAAGAAGCTCGAAAGTACATTTTTAATTGTTTAGATGATATGGCTCAGGTAAGTATGGAAAGTTTCAGAAAGCCAGACATTTATGTATCTCTTTAATCAGAGATACACTTCCATTGGTTATATTAAAGATAGATTCAATTTGTTATCGTCTAATATATGTTTCCATTTTTTACATAAATACATTAATATTCTTCCACATATTGAAAGAATGTTTGAATCCTAGCAAAGGATATTTTTAGAATTATATATTTCTCCTTTGCTTTTGCTTAACTAGTCTTTTGCATGTCAGTATTTTGAAATATTATTTACGAAGGTTCCTTTCTTGTCTATTTTTTCTACTAAATAAATACTTACATAAGAGCTAACATTTATTTAGTGCTTTTGTTCCAAACTCTGTTTAAGCACATACTATGTCATTTAATCTTTTCAGCAATAGAAACTATATTTAAGTAATAACAATCATTTTTACTTAACTCCTTTGATCTGGATTTTGAATGAAAATAGCTTATTCAGCTTTATTCTACCAACAAACTGAACCAAATTGAAGATTTTAATTAGACAGTATAGGAAGAGCTTCCATTTGTGAAAAAATTTCCTCAGGTTTTTCTCTTGAGCTATATATATATATATACACACACACACACACACACACACACACACACACACACACACACACACATATATTATACATATGAATATTATATATATAAATATGTATACATAGTGCACATGTTAAATGTCAGCATTAAAGGTTAAGTGATGAAGTATAATATTTCTAAATTTTCCTTGTAAGGTGAACATGTCCACAGACTTAGAGGGAACAGATATGTTGGCAGAGAAGGCAGATCGAAGAGAATACATAGATCTGTTAAAAAAAATGCTAACAATTGATGCGGATAAGAGAATTACTCCTCTGAAAACTCTTAACCATCAGTTTGTGACAATGACTCACCTTCTGGATTTTCCACATAGCAATCAGTGAGTATAGTATGGTCTGGGGCATTTTGCCATGATGTGGTTTTCTGTTGAGTTACCATCTTACAGCTAAATGGAAGTGTCACAAGAGTAGTGGCTTTGATACTTGCATATTTGGCTTACTGATGCTTTTCCTTCTCATTGAAAAATCATGAGATTAAAAATTAGATGTGTAAAAAAAAAAAATTAGATGTGTATTTTTCCTTTTTATGGTTATAAAAACTCTTGGTTCATTTTCCCTGAAAGTACTCAGGGGTAAAAAACCATTGATCTGTATTTATCTTGAGTTATTTGCTATCTGTTTAAATCTCGGCATTTATTTCATTGAATTTTTAATCTCTTTTTTCAGTGTTAAGTCTTGTTTTCAGAACATGGAGATCTGCAAACGGAGGGTTCACATGTATGATACAGTGAGTCAGATCAAGAGTCCCTTCACCACGCATGTTGCCCCAAATACAAGCACAAATCTAACCATGAGCTTCAGCAACCAACTCAATACAGTGCACAATCAGGTATTCAGTAAATGATTTTGGGAATTCAGACCTAAGTGGGATAAAAACTAGCAAGAGTACAGGCTGAGGTAAAGAAACCAGTCTTTACTTTGGTGGTCTTGTAGCTTCGTAAGAATTTTCAGACTGATAATACCTACACATCATGTGCTGACAAAAATTAAATATAAAGGCCTAATCCATGCCCTCATAGTCTTAGCATAGCCAAATAAGTGGAACCTGGCTTCTATACTACTTACTGCTGTTGATTGTACTGACTTCAGCCAAATGACTCTCTTTTTGTTAGATAGCTCTCATTACATGTATCGAAAGGTGTTCCCAATCATTTTTTTCTATGCTGTATATTAGGTCCTCAGAACTTACTCATCTGATAACTGGAAGTTTGTACTCTTTGACCACCTCTCCAGCCATCTCCTACCCTGCCCCACCAACTACTGATCTACTCTTTGTTTCTTTGAATTCCAATAATTTAAGAGTGGTTTTGCATTTGTTTGCCAAACAGTGATATTTACATTTAAGTTTGTTTCTGAAGATATAAGTTTCCTAATTTCTTAGCTAGGTCTACTTTCTAAATGGAAGATCATATGAGATTTGGTGGGATCTCACATCCAGTAACTTTGCAAAGAAAGAAGAGGTAGGGGTTTATTTATATAGCCTCAACCAGAGCAGGACTGTTTTTTTTATTCTTTGTTTTCTTTTTCAGCTTTATAATCTACCTTAAATTTAAGAGATAGGAAGAATTTCTTAAGCAGAGAGTTATTTCAAAGACAGTTAACATTACATTTTAAAACTTCATTCTTAGTTTTTCTGGATAGAATCTATGTATGTAAAAATGTTTATACCAGTATCCTTTTGTTTTTAGGCCAGTGTTCTAGCTTCCAGTTCTACTGCAGCAGCTGCTACTCTTTCTCTGGCTAATTCAGATGTCTCACTGCTAAACTACCAGTCGGCTTTGTACCCATCATCTGCAGCACCAGTTCCTGGAGTTGCCCAGCAGGGTGTTTCCTTGCAGCCTGGAACCACCCAGATTTGCACTCAGACAGATCCATTCCAACAAACATTTATAGTATGTCCACCTGCTTTTCAAAGTAAGTGGGGAAACTCCTATATCATATGGTATATATCAGACCTACCTGCTTTAGGCAGATCCTAAGTAAGTATCTAGTTGTTTAGTTTTGATCTTTGACAAGTTTAAACTCAGTCTTTGATTATGAAGATAACGGAAGTAGGTTGATCTTTTTTACGTTGGTTATTTGTCTAATTATGATGCTATCTGACATGTAGGCATTCAGTTAATGTTTCCTTATTTGAACTGCCTGATAACCAGTTTTCTTGCCCATTGAGACCTTGTACTGATGTCCTATATCTAGCATAAACACGTATCTCTCAATGTGCAGAGTATATACATCTTGAAAAAACTTGTTGGAAACAGAACTGCTATATATTGAATCTTATTCCCTCTATCATTCCATTATAAAATAAAATTAGTATTCCAAATAAAAGGTAATTTTATTAAAAAATGTAAAAATCATGTTTAAGAATGTAGAAACCTCTTAAGTTACATTCAGAAGTAAAGATAATTATTGAACTGAAAAATTTACAAGCTGAGGTATTTGTGTGGGTAAGGCATTAAGATTATCTGCTTCAGCTTATGAATTATATTGTTCCTGCAAACTCCTGTCAGTAGAGGAACAGAATAGCTGAAGAAGGGGGCTCTCATCTGATGTGTTGCAATAAGATTTTAATTTTTACATTTCCATCCTTCCTCATTTTCTCATTGTTGTTCCGTGTTTATTGATCTGGTGAGCTATTTAAAAGGTTAAATAAATTATTTTAAGGATATATTCTGATGACATCTTGACTTTCCCAATAGAAAGTCAATGTCATGCCCTCTGGGAATAAACCAGGATTCAGGTTTCTTATAGCAGTTCACATAGAAGCCGTTAGCATTTTTATCTTTTTACTTCAGTTACTTACTGACTGTGACTCTTGTTTGTTTGGTTTCTGACAGAGTCAGAGCAAGCAGAAGGAAAAGAGGGGCTAGGGGAGATTGAGAGATTACCGGGAGGACAGGAAAGCGATAGCAATGTAAATCAGGGAGAAACCACAGGGAGAGAGGAGGAGCAGATTCAAAACCTGTAAATGCAAATTTAGCCTAATTTACCCAATTATTTTTTTCGTATCCTTCATAATAGTAAATTCTATACTTTGGGTTGTCATATGTTGAGTGATTCTTCTACTGAACTTAGCAAATAGCCACCCCTCTCCCCTTCACCTTTCCCAAAGTGAGTTTCATTGGAACAGTTTTCAGATGTGCGACTGAAATTTTCTGCTTCTTCTCAGATGATATTTAAGAGATGAGGCAGAATAACTTTTAGTTCCTTTAACAAAACAAAATGTAAGGAGAAGCGGTAGAGGGGAAAAGTGGTTTAACCCCTTTTGGTATAATTAGGGAAGTATAAGCTTTGGAAATTTTTTTCCTATTTAGGAAGTCTAAATAACCTGAGGAGCTAGATAGAGCAAATTTTAAAAGTTACAAATGAAAGGGAGTTTTAAAATGAAGACAGTAATGAAAACTGATATGTATTAGTTACTACATGCCAGATAATGTTCTAAGTGCTTTTACATGTATGTATTCATACTCACAAACAACCCTGGGAAGTGGATAATGTCATTATGCCCAATTTATAGGTGAGAAAACTGATCGTGATTCCCTCATTTGCCCAGTTTTTATGCCCAGTCAGCAGTAGGACCATGATTTTGAACCCAGGCAGTGGGCCCATAGCTTATACATCTTGAAGTGTTATACTCTGTACTGCCTTGCAGTGTCTAAACTCAAAGAGCTGTAGGGAGTTGTCGGTTCATTTGCCAACCACAGCCATATGCTGGTTTCTGCCCAGCAGGCCTCTGTACCAGGTTGCCTACTTTTCTTTCACCATCTGCTCTTTCACAAGATGCCTACACTTAGAGGAGAATAGACCCTCATCCATCTGACAGCTTTACTCTTCTTGCCATACTTTCATGGTTTTTTTTTAATTTAAAGGGCTATATTCAACAAAAACAAAAAAAACACAAATAATAAAAACAAAACTTTAATCCAAGTTCAGGGTTCAGGGAGAACCTTCCCAAAGTGTTGCCTTTTGTTAATTCTTTGTTTCCACTTGGGGTTCCCTGCAAAAGCTAGTTTTAAACTAGCTTGACTGCTGTGGCTTAGCCTAAATTACTATAGCAATCTAATACTTATTTAGAGTCACATTTGTGGGTCAGTATATAAATACTACTTTCTATAGTATTCCAGTTGACCAAAATAGACAGTTTGCTCAGTGGAAACTATAATTCTGTAATTTTGTCCTCTTTTATTTCATCATCCTGGGACACAAAGATGAGCTTCTATAGTGAACATTTCTTCCTAAATTTTGCCGTAGGAGGCTATTGGCAATAATGTTGTCTTGTAGTTAGCCATGGAAATATAGACAAGAATCCTTGATGTTACTTAGCTTTCTGATTAGATAGCATTGCCTTAGGAAGAATGGCTGGCAATTTTTTTTTTTTTAATCTGGATACCTGGATTTGTTTCCTTTTCTTTTTATGTAAGTAGCACTTTTTAAAAAGTTATTATTAGAGTGTTGTAATTCTGATTTTACTAGTCTCTTTTACTTTGTACATTTCTGGATTATGTTTTCCTATGTGACAATTAGTTACTAAATTAAATTACTGAAATGCAAAATTGGAAGACAACTTGCTGAAAACAACAATATTAGAGTTTATGAGTTATGCTCATTTGATACCTCCATAGTAATATTCAGAGAAATTCGTTGGTGATAGCCTAGAAAGTGTCACTGAAGGAATATTCTAATTAAAATGGCTGTATCCTCACTTAACAAAACGCAAGCATCAGTGAATCAGAGGCATCATAGAAACTTAAATTCTTTACGTTGAAAGCTTTGATAGGGTAGGTTTAAAAGAAAGTTTTGAAGGTTCTCTTCTCAAGTCTTGGCAAAAGGGAGAACTATCTTGAGCCCCTCTTTTCCCCAGAATGAGATACTCCTGATTGCAGGAAACATTTATTCAACATTTGTGCCCAGAGGATAATGAATAAAATGATAAAGAGACATGGTCACTGTTCTAAAGGCAGCAAAAAGTTCTTAATTTTCCTAGCTTTCCATTAGCTAGAGAAGAGCTTTAGAAAGCTGTCAGTGATGAGAGCAGATTTCTAAAATAAGTACAAAAAAGTGCTTCTGTAAACCACAATGTCTACTTTTAAAATATTTTTATCCTAGGCATAATTCCTTCAGTTCACATACTGGTTAAAGATAAAATATATGACTAAATTGTGAACTAGGTTATATATTTTTGAGGAGTTGGGTAAAAACATCCCCTTAAAATAGTCTAAATAAAAGTGTAACTAAGATAATAAATTATTGAGCTTTTCATAATGTTTCTTATCTAATTAACCAGAAGTTATAAAGTCTTTGCTTTTAATAGATTACACTTTTTAAATGCTTAAGGTTTTTTTTTTCCCTCTAGGATTAAAAGCTGAACATAACTTACTAAGTGAAGGTTTTTGGTTTGTTTGTTTTTGCCTCTACTGTTAATGGGAGTGGGATGAGTGTTGTGTTTTAAGCTTTGTTGGATTAAAAAAAAAAAGTTTTGAATTTCCTGAAGCCAGCCCTCCCTCTTCAGGCATCTTTCCATTAATCCAACCTGAAAGGAATCAAGTCTCCCTTTTCTTAACTTCCCAGACTTCGGTGAAACGCCTTTGTCTTAAGTGTCTAGAACTAAAACCTGGGTGGTAGATTTTTCGAACCAAAAAGCTAAAAACAAACCCCAAAACCCCCGAACAAGCAGTACCCCCAGACCTAGCAAAGCAATATAACTGTGATGTTACTTTTTACAGCTGGACTACAAGCAACAACAAAGCATTCTGGATTCCCTGTGAGGATGGATAATGCTGTGCCAATTGTACCCCAGGCACCAGCTGCTCAGCCACTACAGATACAGTCGGGAGTTCTTACACAGGTAAAAGACAGAGCAGCTTGGATACTCAATAGTGCTGAAGTTTTCTGAAGCACTGTTGAGAATCAGTTATTTTGTCCTAGAAAATGGTATTTGCTTTGACTGTAAGATCTTTCTTGGTCATGATTCAGTGGACTTAAAATGAAACATCTATAATGGAATAACATACTCATTCCTAACACTGTTGCAACTCTGCCAGTGACTTCCTTAGACTTGGAGACATAAATATCCAGACTTTGAGAAATTGTCTACTGAGTAAATTTAATTTTGTGGGATGAAGTTAATTTTTTATCTTGATGCCCTTAAAGATATAGGACACATGTAACAACACTTTGATTCTAAAAGTAAAAGCTTCCCCTTTTGCTCTCTTAGTGTCCCTGTTACTCACTCTTTGAGAATTTCATCACAGTTGAGAGGCTGGATTATATCAGGATGCCTCTTTGAGTATTACATTCCTTCATTCCTTGTGTTTAACTAGGCTGTAGAAAGGTTTAAAACTTTATCCCTGCCATGCAAAATGCAGCTAAGATGGTCAAGAAACTCATGAAATATTCATATAAGCAACAAATACTATATTTTTAATTCTGTGTATAAATGTTTGTGGCCCGTGACACATAGCAAATCTGAAATCCAAAACCCTGATTTTGTGAGTAGGAAGAGGAAGAATTCTTAATACATGCCTTTGTTAACTGAGTTTTTTAAAACTGATCCTCTGAATCCAGCCCAAGAAGGATTCCCATACTTTTTTGCTTTAGGCCATTGACATTTGACCTAGTGGTCCAATGCTGTGCGGAGTCGAAGGGGAAAGTTGTGTTTGGTACATGCATTTTAAGTGATATGAAATTACTGCTTATTGTTGGTAATAACTTGGGGGGAATGAAAACCCTTCTGAATCCAGATAACCTGCCTCCGTGTTTGTTTCACTCACCTGCCTAATCTACATTTCAGGGAAGCTGTACACCACTAATGGTAGCAACTCTCCACCCTCAAGTAGCCACCATCACACCGCAGTATGCGGTGCCCTTTACTCTGAGCTGCGCAGCCGGCCGGCCGGCGCTGGTTGAACAGACTGCCGCTGTACTGGTAATTCCCCTCGCTTGATTGTGTTACTAACGGAGTTTCTTTGGTTTCTTTCTTTTTATTTTACTTTTTCCTGTTTGTTTTTGTTCTGTTTTCTTCTGGTTTTCTCATTTTTCCAAAAAAATTTTTTTAACTTAGTCTTTGCAGAGGGCATGGAAGCATGTGCCATCTTGTGGCTGTGTTCTTGCTACATCTTTAATGTCTCATTGTTTTCCTCCCCAACATTTGCTGAAGCACTGTTTGACTCTGATGTTCAGTGTGGCTCTGAAAGGGGTCAGACCCCTTGATTCTTCTTTGCCAGCCTAGTGTGATAAAAGCTCTTGGTGTAGCCTCAGAAGAGCTTCAACACTGTTACCTGTTTCTCTGCTCTATCTTTTACCCTCTGAACCTTGAGAATGAAGGAAATGGCCTTTAGTTTGGCTCTGCTACAGGTACCGGATGGCCAAAATTGGAACTCCTTGGCAAGTTAGCTTCTTTCTTTATTGACTGTTTTAAGCTTCTAAAACTTTTGTGTATGTAGAAATGTTTAAAATGCTCTTACTTTATTTCCTTATTAGTTGACATTAACTTTCCGTCTCTGAACACATGAAGATAACTCTTTGCCACTTATGATCAGTGGCAGCTAATATCTTCCATTTAAACATCTTCCCTTTAGAGCCTTTTTAGATCATATTTCATTTGTTGGTTGAAATCAAAGGTGAACTCGTTTATAGGGGTTTTGGAGAAATTATTTTACAAATAGGTCTTTATACAAAAAACCTATTTATACTGAAAAACTTTATGCAAGAATATCTTTGTTATCAAAAGTCATGGGGAAAATTTATTAAATATAGCAGCAAATGTAGTGTGGGTTTTAGAGATAGGAAAACAAACAAATAGGACTTTGAGATATATTTTAGCATTTATAACCTTAATAGTGATTTTTGGATGTGTTTGGTTTATTTGGGGGAGTTAGTATTATTTATTTGACATCTGGCATTTTATCATTTAAAATTTAAAATTAGATCAGCATTCGAAAACCTAATTGATACTGTTGACCCCTGATATTTGTTCATCTTTCAGAGTGGCTTTAAATTTCTTTTGTTGTTTCTCAAGGACTCGTGTGAGTGAAAAACACTTTCAGAATACATACTTTAGTTGCTGGAATTTCTTTGGTTTTCAATTTAAGAGTCTTTGTCACCGCCAAATTAATTACATCATAAGCATAAGCCCTGAGTGTGAGGGAGTCAGATATATTTCCAACTTGACTGATCCAAGCCACTGGTTTTAACTTGCACACCTATAGTTTTGAGGTTGGGAATGTTAGTTGACACTTCTCCTTTGCTGCTTCTCTTAAGTTTGCACTAGCCATTTGCTAAGCTTTGCATATTTTTGTTCTTCCTCTGTCAAAACAGTTCGTCGCTTGGAACGCCAGATTTCTGCCTCACGTTGAAATGTTACTTCTTGCTTTGTATTAAACTACATGCTTTGTCTTGTGCAGGTGTTGGCTTATGGAAAGACGCATGGTGTGACTTAACATACTCTCTTATTTTTTGTTTTGTTTTGTTTCGTTTTGAATTCTGCTTATGGTAGCAGACGTGTTTGCAGTTTCTCTGATTTGAAGGCTTCTTGTTTGGAACCAGTATTTGTAACAAGTGGATCTGTTACTTGCAGAAATATTTTTAAAACAGTGTGTTGATGGCCTTGCAGTTTGGAATTCAAGAAACAGAACCATATGTACCCAAGCATTGTAGGTGATTGTACTGTGGAATTCAGGTTTAAAAAGCAGACTTTCAAATCTGTTCCTATTTTTCTAGGAAATGCCACAATTTCCATAAGAAGTACAGAAAACATATTTGTTGCTATTTATTGCAAGTGGCATGGCTTGTTAAGAACTACAAACAATGTATTTTCCTTTAGTGATTAGTTTTTATGACGAGTTATGTTTCTACAAATGATGCATATTTAGGAAACTACTAAAAACAAAATATGGTACGCTGCATTTATTTCTTAAATATTTTTCTTATTGCATTTTAAAAAAATGCTGTCACATGGCTATAAATGAAGTTAGCTTTCTCTTGCTGGCATTAAGCGTGTTTGCCAAAGGATTTTGGCCTTTGGTCATCCACATCTGGCTCCATTTTCCAAGTACTACCCTTTTAAAAAGGAACAATTCTCCTCTTTGTTTTATGGGTTGAATTGACCTGATGTCTTTTATCTGATTGGCACTCAAATTTTTAAATTCCTATTTTTAATCTCAGGGGAGTTGTCTTAACTCTTTCTTGGGATGTTTTTAGACTCTTTGCAAAAATGTTACTCCAGCATTTAACTAGAGCTTACTTCTGAACTTTCAGACTCCTTTACTCTGCAGTATAATAGAAACTCTTAACCACAGGGATCTTCTTTTCTTTAATACCCTGGTGGTCAGGTTATGGAGGTGGCCAAGAGAAGGCAGCGTGTTCTTTTTCCCTGTTCATAAGACTTGTAACCTTGAGCCCCTCTGACCTTTCTTTTTTAAATCTCTGCAAGTTAACAATCTACAAGAAACTTCTTTTAAGCTATGAATTTTTCTTTCATCTAAAAAACAGAAGAAAAAGCCAAGAGTGAGTCAAGTCTGGATCTTTTTGTGTTTGTTTCCTTACAGCAGGCTTGGCCTGGAGGAACCCAACAAATTCTCCTGCCTTCAACTTGGCAACAGTTGCCTGGGGTAGCTCTACACAACTCAGTCCAGCCCACTGCAGTGATTCCAGAGGCCATGGGCAGTGGCCAGCAGCTCACAGACTGGAGGCAAGTGCCCTGTGTTCCTCTCTGGGAGAATTTGCAAGGGCAGATCCCTTAGGGAAGGACCACTTGAGGATTTGGTGACACAGGAAGAAGGTAAAGGAAAGGAGAGATTTAGCTCTGTGTGAAATCCTTGAAGAAAAGAATCCATATCAGGCTAGGAGACGGAGTTATAAGAAAACTTTGAATGCAGGAAAACAGTAGGTTCTAAGTTCAGAAATTATTTACTTCAGATTTAAAGAAAGTGTTATGCAATAAACCATACAGTGAAACGCCCTAAAGCCTTATAATCCAGGTGCCCAACTGTAAAAATAAGACAGCTTTATTTGGTTGTTTTAATTGCTTTTAGTACGTACTTGGTCCTGACTTCCCAGTGTTTTCAGCATTCATGCTTCTCTTTCTGATGATACAGGAACGCCCACTCTCATGGCAACCAGTACAGCACTATTATGCAGCAGCCATCCTTGCTGACTAACCATGTGACATTGGCCACTGCTCAGCCCCTTAATGTTGGCGTTGCCCATGTTGTCAGACAACAATCCAGTTCCCTCCCTTCAAAGAAGAATAAACAGTCTGCTCCAGTCTCTTCTAAGTAAGTCTCTGTTAGGGCTGATATTTAAAACTGCCAGTTTGAAAGATATGTCGCCTGGCATTTAGAGTGTTGGAGTATAGACACTTTTGGTATGAAGCAGCAAGAAGCTGCCAAATTGAAAAGAGCTAACCTTCGGGCATGCATACAGAGGTATTCTGGTTATGCTAATCCTTTCTCTCTGCTGCCACTTTGAATCCAGGCTTCTTTTGGCTGATGTTTTTAGTTTTCTGCCCACTTCACAGAGTGAAATTTAACCACGGGGTAAAGGGCATACAAAAATAAAATCTATATTCTAATTTTGGTGTTCTTGTCCTGGAAACCCTGGCTAGAGTGGTTAGTTTATTTTTTATTGGGACTTTTATAGTTAAGTGTATTGGCTTAATGATTTGGTAAGAAGGAATCAAAGAGCAAATTGGAAAGAGTTCTGGGGAAAAGATACCTAGTTTTGGGGACCAAGCACTGAGTGATCTTTCTTGTGACCTTTTCCTACAGGTCCTCTCTGGATGTTCTGCCTTCTCAAGTCTATTCTCTGGTTGGGAGCAGCCCCCTTCGTACCACATCTTCTTATAATTCCCTAGTCCCTGTACAAGATCAGCATCAGCCAATCATCATTCCAGATACTCCCAGCCCTCCTGTGAGTGTCATCACTATCCGCAGTGACACTGATGAGGAAGAGGACAACAAATATAAGCCCAATAGGTAAGACAGGTGAATGGTTCCCTAGCTCTGTGGCTCCTGCCCTTGGTCTTAGTCTGTTGGCTTCACACAAGTGGCTCAATTTTGGCTATGAAAGGAAGAACTAAAAAGGGGTATTTAGGAAGCATGGCCGTGGATGAGTGAGCCAGAACACTCAAGTTTCCATAACTGAGCATTGTCAAGTTTTCTGTAATATTATACATGTTCATCAGTTAAATCAGTCGTTCAGATACATTAGATGGAAGGTATAGATTACGTTGTCAGGCTATTCTGGCTTGGAATGCACATTATATACTACAGACATTATCCCCTGCCTTTAATAGAGTCTGAAAACAGATACTGTAACAGAAGCATGTAAAAAACAATTAATTGGAACAAGTTGGTAGATATGAGATTATATGAAATTCGTGTAATTTTTTAATCTGAACAGACCTCTTTGGAAGAGGTAGAACTTTAAGTAGGGCTACCTTCTTTTCCCCCCTCTGCAATATGGTCATTCAGTTTAAGAATTTAAGTACCAGATTATTTCCTCTTATCCCAGCACCTTAATCCAAGTCCTTAATTGGGCAGTTAACTAAGAGAGATAGGATACATGTAAGAACTGTGATACACACCTCTCTTGGTGTGAACAGTCAGTTGCCTTGATTGTTCTGTGTTCTTCTTCATTGCGTTTTTGGTGTTAGGCATATAGAGGAAGCAATAACTCTACTTTTACCTGAGGAGGAAGGATTCACGCATGAAAGTAACTTAGGAGACTTAACAGAATCACGTGTAAATGAAGTTTAAATGAACTTGAATTTCGAGTAAATTTAGAATGAAATACTTCAAAAGGGCTATTTACAAATGGTATTTACAAATGGCTATTTACAAATGGTAAATAGACTTGAAACTAAGTTTTGAAAGTGGTTATTGAACTGATTTGGGGAAGCAAAAAGTTAACTTTCCAGTGAAGAAAAGGGGCCTAGTACTGGCAAAAATTATATAACCAGCAGGATTGCTTTGACTGGAGGCAAGCCTATTAAAAATTAAGGAAAAGGTAAAGTTAGTAAGGTATGGATCATTTTGTGAAGAAACTTCTTTTAAAAACACCTATAGTGAGAAGTTTGATTAGATACAGTAAAGAACCATTTGTAGTCTAGCAGGGTGATATGAAAATAAAGTGGTGTTTGAAGAATACTGTTGAAATAACTGCGAATGGGAATGGCTAAGAGGCAACATAGAATAGTTGCTAGAGGTGTGTACTTTGGAGTCATTCTGTCCTGGATCTGAATCCTGTCTTCATGACTTATCACTTGTGTGACCTTGGTCAAGTTTCTTAATCTCCATCTCCCTCTGCCTCAGTTGCCTTATCTGCAAAACAGGGATAAAGTACCTACTTCATGGAAGTGTTGTGAGGATTCAGTGAGATATGTGTAGAGTGTAAGAATAGTGCCTGATGCATAATAAGCACTCAGAAATTTGTTGCTGCTACTGTTGTTATTATTACTATCATCATGATTATCATCATTTTTATTATGGGAAGACCAGAGACCAGCAAAGAAACATTGCTAAAAGGGGGTTGAATTTTCATGTATTTTCTTCTCCCCAGCTCTGGCCTGAAGGCAAGGTCTAATGTCATCAGTTATGTCACTGTCAATGATTCTCCAGACTCTGACTCTTCCTTGAGCAGCCCATATTCCACTGATACCCTGAGTGCTCTCCGGGGCAATAGTGGACCCCTTCCGGAGGGTCCCGGCAGAGTCGTGGGGGATGGCACTGGCACCCGCACCATCATTGTACCTCCACTGAAAACTCAGCTTGGTGACTGCACTGTAGCAACCCAGGCCTCAGGTGAGTTTCTTCACAGCTGGAGTTGAATGCTCCTTTGATGTGTGTATCTTTAGTACTTTGCTATAATCTACTTTTGCCAATGGTACAGACCAGTGGTGTAGATTTTCCTAGAAATTGCCTAGTTCGGAAATCAGTTCCTTGTGATGTGAAATTGTTTTTGGCCATCAGTTTATCTTCCCGTGTATATAAAAGTGAGTTTGTAGACTCAGTAATACACTCACTGTTGATGGGAGAAGGTAGATACGACTTTTGTTAGATGGCAGGGAGAATTAACAGGCAGGTTTTTTTGCCACAGGTGATTCAGATTTGACAATCCAGAAATGAATGGGAACTGATAATATTAAAAGTGATTGCAAAAGTTTTTTTGGAAAGCAATATGTACTTTAGATCTTTTCTCGCCCAGTGGCATAGCAGTGATGCTTTTGTGGGTTGTATTATCAACCAAATTACCTCCATCTGTTTTGCTCTGTGAGATGCTGGGTTAAGGTTCCCGGGTTCAGTTATTGGGTAATGAAATGCTAACTGCAGTAACAAGCCCCAGTTTTCGTGGCTTAACATAATAGAAATTTATTTCTTAAGTCACATGAGTTCCCAGTGCAAGTGCTCCTGGTTGGTAGGTTTGGCAGCGAGTTAAGGATCAGAGCCTTGGAATCCTCGGCATCCAATCAGAAGGAGAAGGAAAGTATGGAGGAGGCACACACAGTCTTTAACCTCTTTAGCCCCGGAAATAGTGAAAACTCATCACATGGCCCCACCTAGGGGCAAGGGGGCCCAGAAAAATGTAGTCCTTGTCTAGGCAGCTCTTTTCCAGTGGCAACTCTATACACCAAAGGCGAGGACTGTGAAATCTTGGCATCGATATAGCCATCTCTTCGTACTTTTATGAATTAGTGTTTTACCATGAATTATAATACTGCCGAAGACATAAACAGTGTTCTAGTTTGAGGGCGACGTGTGGTTCTCCTCCTGAGAAGTAGACAACTGTCCATTGCAGACAGGGCAAAACTTCCTGATGCCAGGCTACTGAGAAGCATTATTAGGAGCTCTGTCCACTATTGGGTCCAAAGAAAATAGGTTGCTCCACAAGTCACTGAATAAATGCTCCAGTTTTCCTAGTGGGACCACAGAAGGAAGCAAAATTTTGAAAATTGATCATGCTTATATTCAGCTGCACTTTCTGCAGTTGCTTAGAATTTGAAGACAGTGAATGCCCAGCAAGATATAATCTTGCCTTCCTTTAAACCCCTTTGACACCTAAATGTTCCTAAATATTACCAGTATCTTACTCAGCTTCACATTGTCATTTCTGTACTTGTTTAATCCCTTCCTACATAAACTCTAGGCTCCTTGAGAGCAGGGACCATGTCTTACTTGTGTTTGTATTTCTAATAGTACCTTTCACATTACTGGAGATTAGATAATATTTACTGAAGTGAACCTTTTGAAGATCTTTATGGAGCTTTGTAGAAAGACAGAAAAGAAATGGATGATACAGTTTTTGTTCTTCTAGTGTAAATGTAATTGAGGAAATAAGATACACATGAAACCTTAACTATTGCAAACCTCATACAAACATGGACTGGTTAATATGATGCCATCTGAGGTTTAGCTCAGTGATACTGAGTCCATGTCTGCTCATAACTAAAGCCTGACCCTTTCTTAGGTCTCCTGAGCAGTAAGACCAAGCCAGTGGCTTCAGTGAGTGGGCAGTCGTCTGGATGCTGTATCACCCCCACAGGATATCGAGCTCAGCGCGGGGGCACCAGCGCAGCACAGCCACTCAACCTTAGCCAGGTAAGCACTAGGGGCTGCTGCCTTCTGTTTGGGGCCCCCGCTATTGTTACTCTCTGGAGAACCCTGCTTCTGGCTGGACTGCTGAATAAAGCCAAATGAAGCCCCTTTTGTGTCAAACAGTTTGGTGTTCCATGGCCTGTGTCATATCTGTATGTGCTGTGTCTCTTCATTCCCTCTGTAAATGTGTTCAGAATGTACGTTCCAGATTTTCCATCAGACCTCCCTAGTCTATCCTGGAAGATTAGAGAAATGTGTGGAATTTAGAAAGTGCCTAGGATACTTTAGTTCTTGCCTCGTTCTGCACCACCACATGCATTGAGACTAGATTCTCTTTCTTTATCTCCTGGGTCATAAATAACCTGAGCCTTACTCTGTTTACTTGAAGCAAGAGACAGTGAAAAAGCTTTCTGGATACTTAATCAACTGGTTCTAGTCTTACATGGTGCTTGAGTCTGGGATTTGGGGCTTTTTTCTCCCCATCTGATCCTCTGATGGGGTGGGGAGGGTCACTATTCTATTTGTGTTCACTTTTTCCTCAGCTGAAATTCTGGTGCTTGTATGATATGTCTACTAGTAGTGAGAAAGTGTAAATATGAGGGTGTAACTGTGTGGTTGTGTGTGTGTGTGAGAGAGAGAGAGCACATGCAAGTGCAAATGTAAGTTGGAGTTAGTGAATGTGTCTTGGGCTCCACAATTCAAGAGGGATATGAAGAACTTAGAGGAGAGCTAGAGAAAACAATGGCAAGGAAGAAAGGTTAGGAAAAATTCAGTCACTGACGCCAGAATAGGGTGAGTTGAGTCGACAGTTATTTACTTGCAGGAGTGAGTAACCCTATGAACTCTTGATTTCCCCCTTTCCTCTGTCATACTTGAGAGCAAACTGCTGCTGTCTGGGCTGGGTTAGGATCTATTCTGCCAGGAGGCAGAGCGATGGATGGCTGACTTCTGACAGCATTGCCAGTCTGGGAGATTCTGTGCTATGGCAGCCCAGAAGCAGTATGAGTTAGAACCTCAACTCTCAAATTGGCCTTTGGTGCCCTGAGCCAGGGTGACCTCAAGATTCCTCACTTCCTTCTTCCTCCTTCCAGAACCAGCAATCATCATCAGCTCCAACCTCGCAGGAGAGAAGCAGCAACCCTGCCCCCCGCAGGCAGCAGGCGTTTGTGGCCCCGCTCTCCCAAGCCCCTTACGCCTTCCAGCATGGCAGCCCACTACATTCGACTGGGCACCCACACCTGGCCCCAGCCCCTGCTCACCTGCCAAGCCAACCTCACCTGTATACGTATGCTGCCCCCACTTCTGCTGCTGCATTGGGCTCCACCAGCTCCATTGCTCATCTCTTCTCCCCGCAGGGCTCCTCAAGGCATGCTGCAGCATATACCACCCACCCTAGCACTCTGGTGCACCAGGTCCCTGTCAGTGTTGGGCCCAGTCTCCTCACTTCTGCCAGCGTGGCCCCTGCTCAGTACCAACACCAATTTGCCACCCAGTCTTACATTGGGTCTTCCCGAGGCTCAACCATTTACACTGGATACCCACTGAGCCCTACCAAGATCAGCCAGTATTCTTACTTGTAGTTGGTGAGTATGAGGGAGGAGGGGTCAGAGTTCTTAATGGGCTGTGATGAGCTCCTCCCTCACCCTCTCCTGAAACTCCTTAGCCAGCAACTTGCTCTGCAGGGGCCCACTGAAGCAGAAGGCTTTTCTCTGGGGAACCTGTCTCAGTTTTGACTGCATTGTTGTAGTCTCCCAAAGTCTGCCCTATTTTTTAATTCTTTATTTTTGTGACAGCATTTTTGGTATTTGGAAGAGTTCAGATGCCCATCATCTGCAGTTACCAAGGAAGAGAGATCATTCTGAAGTTAACCTTTGAAAAATATTTTCTCTCTCTGACTTGATTTCTATAAATGCTTTTAAAAACAAGTGAAGTTCCTCTTTATTTAACTTTATTTTATTGTAATTGCTGGTCAGAGGAAAAATGCTGATAGAAGGACTTGAAATCTGATAACAAGAAAAGAAAAATCATTACTTTCTGCTTGTTTAAAAACCAAGACTTAATTGCTTATCTTAAGAGCAGCTTGCACAAGTCTGTATTTTACTATCTCGCATTTCTCCCCAAAATTTTACCTTTGCTAATGGGACATTTAAGCTTACAGTGTTTTAATTTTGTTTTCATGTCATGTTATATTTAGTGGGAAATTGTTATTTTTGCAAAACTGGTTACATACTACTCTCTGTTACTGTTGGGATTCTCTCAGTTGCTCCTGTGTTTATTATTAAAGTAGTGTTAAAAAGGCAGCTCACCATTTGCTGGTAACTTAGTGTGAGAGAATCCATACCTACCATGAAAGCACCAGGTATTCTTTCTAAATGAACCCTGTGTATTCTTTTTAAATTATTTTTAAAAAGTCCTTCTCTCTCTGATTTAGCTTAAATTTTATTATTGGAAAAGCCATTAAGGTGGTTATTATTGTATGGTGGTAGTTGTTTTATTATATGCAAAATCTCTTTGTATTATGCGATACTGGCATTGATGAGCTTTGCCTAAAGGTTGTTGGCATCGATGAGCTTTGCCTGAATATTAGTATGAATTTTCAATAATACACCTCTTTCTCTCTTTGCCTCAGCTCTCCCTTCATTCTATGTGATTTATTTGGGGAGAAAGCTAAAGGATCTGAAACCGGATAAGAAACGTTGTGTATAGCTTTTATACTTTAAAGTAGCTTTCTTTGTATGCCAGCAGCAAATTGAATGCTCTCTTATTAAGACTTAAATAATAAGTGCATGTAGGAATTGCAAAAAATATTTTAAAAATTTATTACTGAATTTAAAAATATTTTAGAAGTTTTGTAATGGTGGTGTTTTAATATTTTGCATAATTAAATATGTACATATTGATTAGAAGAATATAACAAGCAATTTTTCCTGCTAACCCAAAATGTTATTTGTAATCAGATGTGTAGTGATTACACTTGAATTGTGTATTTAGTGTGTTTCTGATCCTCCAGTGTTACCCCGGAGATGGAATTGATGTCTCCATTGTATTTAAACCAAAATGAACTGATACTTGTTGGAATGTATGTGAACTAATTGCAATTATATTAGAGCATATTACTGTAGTGCTGAGTGAGCAGGGGCATTGCCTGCAAGGAGAGGAGACCCTTGGAATTGTTTTGCACAGGTGTGTCTGGTGAGGAGTTGTTCAGTGTGTGTCTCTTCCTTCCCTTTCTCCTCCTTCCCTTATTGTAGTGCCTTATATGATAATGTAGTGGTTAATAGAGTTTACAGTGAGCTTGCCTTAGGACGGACCAGCAAGCCCCCGTGGACCCTAAGCTGTTCACTGGGATTTATCAGAACAGGATTAATAGTTGTGTTGTGAATATGCATTGTTCTCAGTTTCCCTGCCGACACTGAAAAATAAAAACAGCAGCTTCTCTTTTTTACCGCCACCTCTACCCCTTTCCATTTTGGATTCTCAGTCGAGTTCTCACAGAAGCATTTCCCCCATGTGGCTCTCTCACTGTGCATTGCTACCTTGCTTCTGTGAGAATTCGGGAAGCAGGTGAGAGGAGTCAAGCCAATATTAAATAATGCATATTTTTTCTTTCTTTTTTCTTTTTTAGTATGTGCAATCACTTTTAGATGAGATTTATTTTTTCCTTTTCCCATGTGGCAGTCCTTCCTGCAAATAGTTGATATTCCTAGTAAAATATTTGCTTGTTGAAAAAAACATGTAACAGATGTGTTTATACCAAAGAGCCTGTTGTATTGCTTCCCACATCCCCAATACTATGAGGAGGAGTTTTGTGAAGCCGCTGGTGACAGGGAACTCAAAGAAAGGTTTCTTAGCCGGTGAAGAATATTTAGAAGGAACCAAAGCCTGTTGAGCCATCGGGCTTTTGAGGTTTCTTTTTAACAACTTGTGTATTCTTGGGGCCCTTCAAACTGCGAAAGTGTCCTTGTACTCTCAGCTCCTACACGGATCTGGGTCAAGTAGAGAGTACTGGGGATGGCAAAGTTCCTGCCCATTAAAGATTTGGGGGAAGAAGGTTAACCCTAAGATGTAGACATGTTCCATCTGAACTGAAAATTATGTACTTGAGGGATAAGTCTAGGACTGGTTCTTTGTAGAGATGGTGTCAAGGAGGTGCAGGATGGAGATGGGAGATTTCATGGAGCCTGGTCGGCAAGCTCTGTACCAGGTTGAACACCGAGGAGCTGTCAAGGTATTTGGAATTTCTTCATTGTAAGGAGGAAGGGCTTTCAAGATGGGGCAGATAGTCAGTATAGGCTACCAGGAACACGTTGGTGTTTTCTACTTTTTTTTTTTTATCATTATTTTGTGTTTTCAGCATTATATTGATCAAGATACCCAAGCAGTTTGTATAGTTTCTGTCACTAGTGTTATAAAGTTTTCTGGTCAGTGTGTGCAATCTTTGTGTCTCTTTTTGCCAAGCACATTCTCATTTTCATGCTCAAAGGCAGATCTAGTTTCTAAGGGAAATATTTTTTGTTCCTTATCTTTACAAGGGATAAGATTTGTTGTTTTTGTAAGAAGTGAGATGCAGGAAAAAAACACTCCACTCCTGCGCACCCTACCCCCCACCCCCAGTCCAGTAAGTGGATACCACTTAAGATAGGAGTCTTCACGGGGAGAAGACAATACCAAGAGCTTATATTGTTACCATAATCACCTTACTAGCAGTGTGTGGCTTTAAGAATTTTAGAGATCTTCAGTATTAGTTTTGAAAATTGGCATTTCAGATTTACCAAGATAAAAATCCATCTGTGTCTGCTGAATGTGTATGTGCTCAGTGTGGCTTTAGATTCTGTCTCTGGGGCTTAACATTGCTGGCCCTGACAGGATGGGGGAAGCTCCAAGAATAAAGTGAGCAGCTAGCTGGCCCAGGTCACAGTGGCCTGACCTCAGACCAGCTTAAGGCTTTAAGTCCTGTCAGAACTTGTATTTCCAGCTTCTCCCCTTCAGGGTGAGAGAGAAAATGGGAAGGGTTAGGTACAGCCACTCTAGGCTCATCAGGACACTTGATCACTCCGGAGTTTTTAGTAGCTTCCAGGAAGTGATACTATGGTCAGTGCTCAGCTAAAATCCCAGCCCCAGGAATGAGAACTCCATTTAAACAGTTCTGACCATCCATCGTCCTCCACTAGAGGGGCTAAACTTGACTGCCCTTAGCCAGGCAAGCGCAGTAGTATGTGTTTTATTCAGCATTATTATGCAAAAACCCACTGGTTAGGATGGTTTGTTTTAGGATAGGAAATGAAATTGCCTCTCAGTGACAGGAATGACCCAAGCCTGCTTCCTGTTTCAATTTTTTTTTTTTTAACTGATGGATGGTGCAGCATGTCTACATGGTTGTTTGTTGCTAAACTTTATATAATATGTGGTTTTGATTCAGCTTGAAAAATAATCTCACTACATGTAGCAGTACATTTTATGTACATTATATGTAACGTTAGTATTTCTGCTTTGAATCCTTGATATTGCAATGGAATTCCAAGTTTATTAAATGTATTTGATATGCTAGTTATTGTGTGCGATTTAAACTTTTTTTGCTTTCTCCCTTTTCTGGTTGTGCGCTTCCTTTTATGACAAGCCTCTAGAAACAGTTTCTGAGAATTACTGAGCTATGTTTGTAATGCAGATGTACTTAGGGAGTATGTAAAATAATCATTTTAACAAAAAGAAATAGATATTTAAAATTTAATACTAACTACGGGAAAAGGGTCCATTGTGTAAAAACATAGTTTATCTTTGGATTCAATGTTTGTCTTTGGTTTTACAAAGTAGCTTGTATTTTCAGTATTTTCTACATAATATGGTAAAATGTAGAGCAATTGCAATGCATCAATAAAATGGGTAAATTTTCTGATTCACGTGGCTGTTTTTGACTTCTCTTATAGGGGTACAAAGGGGATCAACAATTGGCATCTTTGGAGTGGCTAAATACATTGCATCTGAACGCCAGTAGAGTGTTAGAGACAACTTCATTCTTCATACAAATCTCTGTCCCAGAAATAAATAGGGGTCGGTAGGGAATACTTTCCAGGAATGGAGTGTCCAGGGCCCTAACTTAAGATCATCTGGATCTGGCCCTTTGAAAGATGCAGAAATTTCTGACACAGGCTAATTAAACCTTGCTTCCTAGCATGTTCCACCAAACATCTAAAGTACCAGAATGCAAATAAGAATAACCACAAGACGATGCTATTTTCCCCTCCTTTCAGAAAGCTGCACTGTTAGAAGAATCGTTTTTTTTTTCTTTTTATAACATCTTTATTGGAGTATAATTGCTTTACAATGGTGTGTTAGTTTCTGCTGTATAACAAAGTGAATCAGCTATACATATACATATATCCCCATATCTCCTCCCTATCCCACCCCTCTAGGTGGTCACATCTCCCTGTGCTATGCGGCTGCTTTCCACTAGCTGGCTATTTTACATTTGGTAGTGTGTATATGTCCATGCCACTCTCTTACTTCATCCCAGCTTACCCTTCCCCCTCCCTCTCCCCATGTCCTCGAGTCCAAGGAATAGTTTTTTGTTTTTCTTTTTAGAGGAGGACTTTGGCTCAGATTTCTCTTAAGTGAGTGATTAAAGTAAAATTTCTCCTGATAACGAATTAGAGATTTGTCTAGATTCATCACTGCGGGGCTCTGAATAAATGCTATGCTCATTTGACTTCTTTTGACGCATGTGTTTCAGGACAAGTCTGTCTTACAGTGGCCATTAATTTTTTGGGCTCCTGTAGTCATAGTTGGGATATGGAAATGAGAAACATTTAGGAACACCCTTTTGGGCCATAACCAAGAGAAGTTATCAATAGTCTGTTCTCTCCCATTAGTAGGGAAGTCAGAGTACATTTATTTTGATTTAGACTGCAACATATATATTTTTCAGATTTTTTTTCCCTAAATAAATGAATGTAAAATTAGTGTGAGCTCACTGAACACTCCCCAGTTTGGGTAAGAGAATGTGCCTAGAAACTTTC